TGGGTATCATTGTGAAAAGTGCGTATTCCAGAACTCTCATATAGCCCTGCTCTCCAGGAGTTCAGAGCCACAGGTAGGGGCCTGCTGTGCTGTTTCAGTGAGCTGCATTGGTTCCTGGATTCAGGTGGTCTTTGCTCCAGACTTACAGAACCCACACAGCCACCAGAGCAGCATATAACCAGTCACCCTCCTTCAGCTGCCCTCTGGATACTGAAACCACCTCTATCAAAAGCCTCCACAAACTCCTTACGGACTGAGTGCCCTCAACCTAGACAACATCAAGGTCAATCAGAACTCCATCTAGAACCAGGAGGTCTGCTATCACATCCCTCCTGTAAGGCCTTGTGAATCCTTGGCTTGCAGGAGCCCCCTCCCAGAGTTTTCTCTTCTCCATGTCCAATACCTGCACTGCTTTCTTTAGGTTTTGTTTGTGGGTTTGTTTTTTTCCTTTTCTTGTTTCATTGTTTTTGTTTGCTTATTCCTTCTTCTTCTTCTCTTTCTATTCCTTTGAATTTCATCCTTTCTTCTTCTCTTTCCATTGCCTTGAATTTTATCCTTTCTGTATCTGCTGTTGTATTTCCTTCATTTTTTCTATTTCTCATTTCCCCTTTTCTTTCTTTCCCGTTTTGATCTTTTCCTCCTACTCTCTAATCTCTTTATCTTCCCTCTTCGTGGGTTTTCCAAGTGTTTTTTTTCTTTCTTCCTTGGACTTTTCTCTTATTTTTCTCCTCTATACTTCCACCGGTACTGACTCGATGGCACCTAATAACAACAACAATACTTGCACTTTCCTGTCTGTCTTCTCTTTTTTTTAGTTATTCTTAAATAATTTTTTGTTACTTTTATTTTTCCATCTTCTATAGCTCCATTTTCTTGTTTCTCTTTTGTCTTTATAGTTACTACATTCTTTTTTTCTGGTTGCTGCTGTTTATATATATTGTTGTTGTGAAGTGCCGTCGGATCAGTTCCCACCCATAGCGACTGTAAACCCTTTTCCGAGGAGCAGCTGGTGAGCTTGAACCACCGACCTTGCAGTTCAAATGGCTTTGCAATCTGGCGCATTAACCCACAGTGCCACACCAGGACTCCATATGTATTGGAGCGTATATTGGAGTCCATATATATTGGAGTCCTGGTGTAGTGCTGTGGGTTAATGCGCCAGATTGCAAAGCCATCTGAACTGCAAGGTTGGCGGTTCAAGCTCACCAGCCGCTCCTCGGAAACCCTGTACAGGCTCAATATGGATGGGAACTGATTTGATGGTACTTAAAAACAACATATATCCGTAAAATTTTCTCTTTTCATTGTTGGTTCCTTGTTTGTTTATTCTCTTTTGTTTTCTTGTGTGTGAGGGGGGAGGGGTTTTCTCTTTCTCACCCAACAGGAGGCAGCAACCTTGCCCATACAGCCCAGCCACACCCATTTTCTCTGCAGCTCCACCCACTGAGCAACAGCTAGTGCTCGCTCCTGTACCACTTGATTAATGATACACAGTAGCTAACACCAGCTCAACCCTCCCTAACCTGAGGTCCACATTCAGTGAATGAGAACAGTATACACATTTCTGTTTCCTATACCCAGAGGAGGCAGTTGGTGAGAACCTGAGAACACATCACTATACAATGATCAATTAAATACAAATATGATAATCCTATAATGTCCCCAGAGACAACTGGCAATTTTTAGCTCATATGAAGAAACGAGAGAATGGCTCAAACAAATAACCAAGTTGCAGAGCCAGAAAACGTTACTGAGGAAGAAAAAATTATTGGACTTACTTGAAAATTATTTCAAAGGATTGAATTTATGTACCTTCAAAGGATTTATAGAAACATTGAGGAAAACAAGAAGAAATTAGAAGAATTCATGAAGATACTAAAAGAACAAACAAATAAATGCAAATTTTGAAACTATGCAAAATACTTGGAAGTCCAAAAGATCAATAGTAAGATTTCAGAAATCGACAATACATTGAAAGGCCAAAGGAACAGATTTGAAGCAATGGAAGTCGATATTAGTGAGCCATTTGGAATACGATGAAGAACTACTTAGAGGTGATTGGGATTCCAGAGCAAGAAAAGACAACAAAAAGAACAGAGAAAGTTTCCCAAGAGTTGTTGGAAGAAAACTTCCCTAACATCATGAAAAATGAGAAGATAACCATTCAAGAAGCTTAATAAACCCCAAGCAGGAGAGACTCCGAAAGAAAATCACCAAGACATATAAAATAATCAAACCCTCCAAAACCAAAACAAGGAAGAAATTCGGGAAAACAAAAAGTTACCTATAATGGAGAACCAATAATACTAAGCTCTCAGTTTTCATTAGAAACCATGTAGGTGAGAAGGTAATGGGATGGTATATATAACGCTGAAGGAAAAAAAAAAAAATTGCCAGCCAAGAATCATATACACAGCAAAACTGTCTCTCATATATGATGGCAAAATTAGGAAATTTCCTGAGAAATAGAAATTAAAGGAATTTGTAATG